TAGAAAGAAAGACAGAATCATCCAGAAGGTTAGTGAATGTGCTAGATTTCTTCCAGAGAGAAGCAGGTCATTCAGAGAGAAAAAGGTCTAAAACATCAACAGTATAGTTTAGCTGTTTCCAGGCAGAGCAGAAGAAAAGACATTCTGATTGGCTTAAAAGTTAGTAAGAGTAAAGCTCTAAGATCAAAAGCTTTAAAAGGATCAGACTGGAATACTTCCTATAAGGCTGTTGAATGCAGGAATTCGAAGGAGTAAATAAGCTGTGTTAACAGTTTCATTGTAGGCCACATGAAGAGCCATCAACTAAAGGAAGCATCGAGTTAATACAGATGTTTGCCAAAAGAGACCAAGTACAGCCCTGCCTAGTGAACAAAGAACTTTAAAGTGAAGATGGAATGACCCTTTACCAAAGTTCGAGCATGTGTAAGATTGTTATTAAGACCAAAAGGGTTGAATCTTTACTTCTAATATTTGTATTGTAATAAGACAATTTCAAATAGTTTTCTTTCTACTTTTGTGCATAATAAACTTTGTGCTTTTGTTAAAAGTGCATTGGGAGCCTCTTACAATCCTGTTCAATGACTGACCATCGTGGCAAACAAGTTGCAAAACTAAAAACTCTGATCTATTAAGGGATCAGTGGACATACACACCAAGGTCCCTCTGACTCTTGGTGCTTCCCAGGGTCCTACTCTTTATCATGTATTCCCTTGCCTTGTTTGTCCTGCCCAAGTGCATCACCTCACATTTATCCAGATCGAACTCCATTTGCTACTGAACACCCCATCTGACCAGCCCTCTTCTAGTTTAAAGCTATTCTCCTCCCTATTTACCACTCCACCAATTTTTGGATCATCTGCAAACTTACTAATTATGGATGCTATTTGGCAGATACGGATGGTTTGTGCATGCAATTTGGCATTTCCACTGCTCAAATAGAGTAACAACTCTGATAGCACAAGATAGTCTGCAAACTTCTTAGAATGGAAGCCATCACAGATCCCAATCATAATCTGGTGCAACCATCAGAGCGAAATCAACAGATGAATCTGAACAAGAAAAGGATTGAATTGAAGATGCCAGAAGTCAAGCACAGAGGTCATGTACTGACAGCAGAAGGGTTTCACCAAGATCCAGATAAGGCGAGACCTGTTGCAAAGACATAGTGACTGACAAACATGAAAGCAGCACAATGATTTTTTGGCTATGTGAACTACTTAGCAAAGCTGTTGCCTAATTTGTCACATTGTGAGCCTCTACTCAAGTCAAATGGAAAGGCTGAGGCAACAGTGAAAATTGCTGAAAGGGATCACTAAAGAAATTGAGCAAATCCAGCAAGAAGTTGTACAATGCAGTGGAGAAATAGCCCCTATTGAGGGCATGGAAGTAGTCTAGACCAAAGATTAATTAATTAACATTCAAACTATTCTTGTAATTATGAAAATAATACTGAAGCCAGAAGTAGTAACAGGTGAGAGTGACAAAAACAAGGGGAACTAACAGCCAAATTTTTCTTTGATAAAACTGCAAAATTATTTCCAGAGCTAAGCACTTGAGAGCCAGAGTGCAAACATTCAACACTTTCAACAAGTGTCAGCACAAGTGGCTACCTGAGACTTGTGTACAGCAGTTGTGACCTCGATCATATGCAGTAGATGTGAATGACCATATATATGATCATTATTGCAGACGTATATACAAGTTAAGAAGCAGTTCCTTCACTACAGCCAGCTGTTCAAAAGATGTGATCTCATTATCAGCATGAAGCACAAACATCCATCAGTCCCACAGGTCCATGCTTCCCTAATATTGAAAATGGATCAGCAACAATGCTTACCACCACAACAGCACTTGCCATGAAAATGATACCCGCTGGCAAAAGAACATCACCCGAGGTACCAGACAAACAGCTACACCTCCCATTAGAAGATCTACACGAGTTGAAGATTATGCCTGCAATGCATGTGCAGAGGCTAGCACAGGTAGGACTAGCTAAAATTAACACACAATTCTGTTAATGAATGATCATATTCTTTGATGACCATGGATATTGGGGTAACTTGGAATATTGGGTAACTCGTGGCTACAAAGGGTATAGCATACAAATTTGTTTTTTTTTTGATGAAATGAAATTGTTTGAAGAAACTTATTTGCACATAGTATACTGGATGGCTTACTATAATCATGTGACTTCTACCTCTGCTGCAAGTGCTTTCACTTTAGTTTGTGGGGGTATTAAACACATTATATGAAACAGCCAAGGAGCCTGACTATATCCAGCATCCTGATCCCTTTCTGGAACAGTTTTCTCATAATGATAGCCACCATAAAGTTGAGCTTAAGGAAGGGCTGTGAATGAATCATAGCATTGCCATTCTGATGACAACAACTTTATCTCACAGTTGGCTTACTGGGTCCACCCAGGTGTGAGACATTGTAGATGCATAAATCATTCTTAAATACTTCCTCATTATAGCTCAATTGCATTTCCCTAAAGATATTTTTAAGCTGGAGAGCATTTAGAAGAGATTTACCAGAATATTGCCAGGAGTGGAGGATGTGAGTTATAAAGGAAGGCTGAACAGGTTGGGGCTTTTTCACTGGAGCGTAGGAGGTTGAAACCTTATAAAGGTTTGTAAAATCACAACGCTTATAGATAAGGTGAATAGCAGATGTATTTTCCCTAGGGTGGGGGATTTCAAGAGTATTTTTAAGGTGAGAGGAGAAAGATTTAAAAAATACATGAGGGGCAATTTTTTTTACTTAGAGACTGGTTCATGTGTGAAATGAACTTCCAGAGGAAGTGGTGGATGCGGCTACAGTTACAACGTTTAAAAGACATTTAGCTAAGTACATGAATAAGAAATGTTTGGAGGGATATGGGCCAAGGGCAGGCAGGTGGGACTAGCTTAGTTTGCGATTATGGTCGGCATGGACTGGTTGGGCCGAAGGGTCTGTTTCCGTGCTGTATGACTCTATAAATATTTGGTACTGGAAATGAATATTGTGAGTCCAAGCAGCTTCACCTTGAGCTCAAACCCCAATTCTAGTCTTTCCTCCTCCTCTCCTTTTGATGCAGTTTCTTACTGATAATTTTTCCACTGACAAATAGTCTCTTTAACAACTGGATTTTAATTTGACAGAACTCTCTCCTTGTCCTTCTCTCAACCATAAAATTAAATGGAAGTTGCCAGCTCATGGAAAGCCATTGGACTCTGTGGTGATTTTTTTTTGCTGAAGCAGACTCCACTGCCCTGTTCCTTCATCGTCATCCTTTTACGTTACCCTGCCTAAGCATCAATTTTCCTTTAGGATGCATGTTCCCTTCCTGGAACACTCCCTGTGTCAAAAGCATTTAAATAGCTGCCTCTATAATCAAATCTCTATTGTTTCTCTCTTTCTTAAAAAAAAGTTGCTTGCTTCCCTTAGTTTTCAGTTCTGATGAAAAGTATTATCACACCTTCTCACCATACAGATGCTAACAGATGGATCAAGCAGTTCCAACATCCTATGTTTGCATTTTGTTAATGATTTGAAGCAGAGAAGTGGTATATTTATAGTTACTGCTCACCAACGTTTTGTGCTATTTTTAAGCACTTTGCTTAAATTTCTGTCCATATCATTTTAAAGCAGGCAGTAACCCATTTACATTAAGTAGGTTATGATAGCATCAAAATAGTGCAGCGTTACAAGTTATGTAAATGCAAACCAGTGTACCAATATTCATACACAGGTGGCTCACTTTTCTGGATCCCCAGCGTCAGTGGGAGGTCTTTCCAACAATTCTCCCTCTCCTTGTGCAACCCCGCAGCTAACTATTTCCTAGCCTATCCAACATGCTATCCTATTCCAAGCCCAAAGGCAAAGCCTCCTAGCCCAGTCTTGGCAAGATTTGAGACTTATTTGGCAGTCTGAGTCTATCAAAAGCTGGTACAATTACAACATTTAAAAGGCATCTGGATGGGTATATTAAAAGGAAGGGTTTAGAGGGATGTGGGCCAAATGCTGGCCAATGGGACTAGATTTATCTGGGATATCTGGTCAGCATGGATGAGTTGGACCAAAGGGTCTGTTTCCATCCTGTACAGCTCTATGACTCTATGACTCTGTCACTGAAAGCCTCCTCCTTGGCCTAGCTGCAGTACCACAGGTTGCCACCACTATCAGTGGTGCTATAACTGCTGGTCCTACAGAGCTGCTGGTCTCCAATATGATCAGCAGTTCTCAGAGTTGGGACCTCATCCTGAAGACAGCCAGACATCTCTCGCGTCACGATAATTAAACATCAGTCGGCTGAAAAATTAAAGCAGGGCATGCCAGCTAAGTGGAGGCAGGCTTGCCCTTGACATTAATGATAGGGTGCAGGCAGCCTGCCTGCAATGTAAAATCCAACCCAATGTTTTACCAAACAACGTCATCAACAAACTTGCATTTATATAGAGCACCTCTCGTGGTAACAAAACTTGCAAGGAATTGACTGCAGTAAAATGTGCTTTGCTCTGGATGAAAATATTGAAGAAGAAAAATAGAACATGTATCACAGGAATGAAAACAGGAATACCACCCATTCTTAAGAGAGATACCATGATCCGGAAAGTGATTTGTGCCAACCTGCAGGTAAGAACACGGTGTGGAGATGTACCCCTGCAATGGAACTGATAAGCCCAGTGTTAGACAATGGGCTTTGCTTATAGGTAAGCTGCATGTAGACTTGAATGTAACTGTTGACGGGAATATTAATTTAGCAAAACGAAGCACCAAACAAGTATTACTACTATAGCTTTTGCAAGTAAGGAGGCCTGAACATTTCTTTTGCGACCTGGTGCGGAATGCACATGAACACAGCACCTGTCATATCGGATGCTTTAACACTCATTTGAAATGTGGAAATTATATGCAACATCTGCAACTTCCGACACACATGAATCTGCCACAGTCAATGCAAACAAAAGAAACGTCTTACAGACAAAAGGCATATTCAAGATATTTTCCCTTTTTACCAAGTTTCGCAGTGGAGCTCTCCTCATCAGCTTCGTTCTCTGAGGTGCAGCGATATCCCTTCTTCTTCAAGAAGTTGCAGACAAGAATTCCGAGCAATCCTACAATGCAGAAGACCGGCACCAATGCTAGCACAGCATATTCAGTGTGCTTCTCCTTCTGTGTTTCCTTTTTGCTGGCATTAGAAGACTTTGAGACATTCACTTGATGTGCAGCCCGGATGTTCCTTGCCACACGCAAAAGTTGAGAATGCACATCTAACAGAAACAAACATATTTTTTGGTGGATTTTATCTTACAGTACACATTGAGGTAATAGGTTTATGCATTTAAATTTGTTAGATCATCTTACACATGATAAATCTTTTCATTTAATCACCCAGCATTGCTATGATGTAAATTATAGGACATGTTGATGATGTATGTTTATCATGTATTTGCGGTGTCTGGTTTGAATGATTTAGTTTCACCCAACATTTTTCCTTGGACCTTTCAAGCAACCTAACCATTTTCCCATGGAATTCATTGGCACTGCGACTACTGAATTCCTCCACTATCAACATCCTAGGGGTTTGCCATTGACCAAGATATAAATACAGCAGCTACAAGAGCAGGTCAGAGGCTAGGAATTCTGCAGTGAGTAACTCATCTCCTGACTCCCCAGAGCCTGTCCACCATCTAAAGTCAGGCGTGGAATAGAATACTCCCCACTTTCCTGGCTGGGTGCAGCTCCAACAACACTCAAGAAGCTCGACACCATCCAGGACAAAGCCGCATACTTGACTTAGCACCACATCCACCCCCTTCACCACTGACACTTAGTACACACTGCTGCTACTACTATCTGCAATATTCACCAAGACTCCTTAGACAGTACTTTCCAAACCCACAACCACTTCCATTTGGAAGAATACGTTCAACAGGTACATACACAGGTACATATACACTTTCTTCAGATTCCTCTTCACCATCCTGATCTGGAGCTATATCAGTGTTCTTGTACTGTTAGGGGGTCAAAAATACCAGTAATGCCCACGAAATAATTTTTAAAAAAATTACTCTTGAAACATTAGTACATGCATCAAAATTGAATCAATTTTTCCCCACGTGGTTAGATCGCCACATAGACAAGGAGATTCACTGAATCGCCAAAGCTAGAAGAATTAAGCAATCACTTTACAGATTAATAAGGAACCTAATAATGTAGTACAGACAAATGAAGACCTGCTTTATATCCTTATATGCTTTTTAACCATTATTGACATTATAAAGAATGTTCTCCAAGCTTGAAGTTGTATGTTTTGTGCAGTTTGTATCACAGTATTGAAGACTGCAGCCATGGTATGAAACATGTCAAAAGGGAGTTTTCAGAACAGTGATTAGTTAGTATTTTTGGATACTGCACTTGGCATGAGTCTCCTAAAAGTTTGTCTTTCATTGAGAATTAGGCAGCACAAGTGAAGTTACCAAAGAAAAAGATTAGTTACCTAATGGTTTGAAGGAGATAACATTATAAATTCTATAGGAAATGATTTAGTAATTGGGCTCAAAATAAATATTTGTTTTCATTTTATACTGCTAGTTTCCACAGTCAATATGCTTCCAGAACCAACACAGCCGACAGACCCAGCACAAACCCCATCACCAGCATTTCCATCACCAATAGCGAGCCTGTGCCTAAGGTGGTCCCAGATCAGCTACTGAGCTGAAGCCCAGCACAGGGACCCGGGTTCAATTCCACCCTCGGGCGACTATCTGTGTGGAGTTTCCACATTCTCCCAGTGTCTCTGTGGGTTTCCTCCGGATGTTCTGGTTTCTTTCCACAGTCTAAAGATATGCAGATTAGGTGGACTGGCCATGTTAAATTGCCCATAGTGTTTAGGTATGTGCTGGCTAGGTGGGTTAGCCGTGGGAAATGCAAGGATAGGGTAGCGGGATGGGTCTGGGTGGGATGCTCTTCAGAGGCTTGGTCAGTGTGCATCCATTGGGCCGAATGGCCTATTTCCACACTGTAGGGGATCTATGGTATGGTTTTATGGACAATACCATAGTGCTGGTGGAGACATGGCATAACAGCTTTATGGCCCCATTTGCTCTTCACTCCACAGTAGGAGGGAACTTTGAGCTCCCCAGCCATAAGTGCAAGATCTCAAAAATACTGCAGATGTTGTAATTAAAAAAGAGAAATCTCTGAAAACATCACCTGACTCGCAATACATTCAGAAATCAAAAAGCAGGATTAATGATTCAGGTCTGATGACTGTTAGAGGGGGTCAGGCGTTGAACAATAAGCTGGATTCAAACTCACTGACATGATGGAATTTGAACTCAGAATTGAATTCTGAATTACTAGCTCACATGACACAGCTATTACACTACCATACTTGCCTATTTGAGACCTTTCCATATGACTCAGCAGCACGATTAATGAATCTATTACACAGGGTCACAGCATCTTCCAAATTCACATCCATCAAGAAGAACAAGGGCAGCTAGCATATAGGAACACCATCACCTGCAAGATCCCCACCAAGTCACTTACCATTCTGACTTGGAACAATATTGCCATTCCTTCATCGTCACTGGGCCAAATTCCTGGATATCCTTCTCTAAAGGTGATGGAGGTGAATTTGTATCTATGATCATATAGTCTGCAGTGGTTTGGGAAGGGAGCTCACCAACAGCTTTTCAAGCTCAGCTAGGGAAGGGCAATGAGAGTTGGCCTAGCCAGCGATGCCCACAACACACAAACAAATAAGGAAAAAGTACACATGTCCACCCAATCAATTGCACTCAAAGAAGTGAAGCCATTCAGAACCAATGTACCAGTTTCCCTTTACTCCAGTGGCAGTGATCGTATCCCCCAGTTTCTTTTTACTCTAATAGGAGTGATCATAACCCCCAATACTGCTCACGCTAGAATCAAGAATCAGAGAATCCCTACAGTGTGGAAACAGGCCCTTCAGCCCAACAAGTCCACACTGACCCTCAGAGCATCCCACCCAGACCCATCCCCCTAATTTACACATCTCTGAACACTACGGGCAATTTAGCATGACCAATCCACCTAGCCTGCACATTGTTGAACTGTGGGAGGAAACTGGAGCACCCGGAGGAAACCCACGCAGACACAGGGAGAATGTGCAAACTCCATGCAGACAGTTGCCCGAGGGTGGAATTGAACCCAGGTACCTGACCCTGTGACAACCTTCATTACCCGCCAAAATAAATCTTTTTTGCATTGGACTAACCTTATCTCCTCATAATGAACAGAATTCAAAGCAATATTTGTTTCTCTTTGTATCTCCACATCACATCATTGGAGTAGTGCAAAGCAACAATACAGGTCACTTTTGTTACACAAGTAAACAAGAAATCATTCAAAAGTACTCAAGTCTACAAGTGCATTAATCAAATAAACTGAGCCTTGAAAGGGTATCACATTCATCTAATGAGGCTCATTAAAATTTGTATTGCTTCACAACAACCTGGGTTGCCTTAAACTGCTTTGTCACAAAATGAGTTTAACACTTAACATCCATTTAACAAAATAAAGCATTAGTGCATTTGAAGCAATTTGTTCTTTTCTGCTTGTTTTACTCCTTCACATGGAGTGATACATATCTCTTAATGTAAAAGTAAAAATCTTTTTCCCCATTTAACGATAGGGTTTGGATAACAGTTGAACAAACTTAAGTTCAAAAGGTAATGATTCTTAGAGATTCAGAAATCTGCTAAATCTGCTGACCCTAACAATTGTTTCAATAAAAGAAAACCTGGCAGGCAGATAAGCATTTGGAATAAAAACCGAAAGAACTGTGGATGCTGTAAATCATGAACAAAAACAGAAGTTGCTGGAAAAGCTCAGCAGGTCTGGCAGCATCTGTGAAGAAAAAGTCAGAGTTAACATTTCAGGCCCAGTGACCTTTCCTCAGAACGGGAAGGGTCACCAGACCCGAAACATTAACTCTGATTTTTTCTTCACAGATGCTGCCAGACCTGCTGAGCTTTGCCAGCAACTTCTGTTTTTGCAAGCATTCAGAATATCTAGAACGTGCTCATAGAATCTGACACGTTCCTTTGATTGTATGGTTACACTGGAAGAGAGGAAGGAATTGAAGGTCTTTTGTTGTGTGTGGTCAGATCAGGACACCATGTCCATCAACGCTTGGATCATTAGATCCTTGTCAGTGTAGTTGTGCCAAGTCAGTAAATAGAAATATTAAGTAGCAGCTGCTGGGTTGCTCCACAGAGAGGTTTTTCAAGTTATTTTGGGGTCATTCCTGTAGGCTGTGATCACAAACAACCCAATACTTTGTAAGTGCTAATTACTATAGGAGGATAAAGATGAAAGGCCAAACATCCCTTCTGAAAGCTCCACAAGTTTATCAAGTGAATATGTGCTGTGTGGACTCAAATATCATATACTTGGGTAGGCTGATCTCAGCTCAGACAAAATCATGACTAATTAAGGTCAGATACTTGTGTGAGGTACAGTCAGGAGTTAGGGCTCAAGGAACATCACCCCAGTGAGGTGTTAACATCTTTAGAATGGGAAGGAAATGTGCTAGAATTGGCAAATGATGAAAGATGTCTAAATCGTCTATGGGTTCCAGAATTTTCATGTAGCAACTAAATTTTATTTTACGTGGTTGAATTACTCTTATCCTTTACATTGAGTTCCTCTACAATGCAGGTCGAGGCAGCAAATCATGAGAAAGCATATAAGGAAAATTAGCAAAGATCCACCAGCTTCTCCATTAGGCAAAATGACAAGGAAACTAAAATGGAATTTTACAATGAGGTTTCAAGATATCTTTTATAACTTTATAGCTTGTCCAAATGTACATATTTTGAGGGTGAAACTGCTGATGAAACGTCCAATAGAACAATATAAGCAAATGCTGGAAATCTGAAATAGAGAATGCTGAAGAAACTCAGTAGGTTTGGCAGCATCTTTAAAGAGAGAAATAGAGTTAACTTTTTGAGCTTGGTATAAAGATACAGGTGGCTCAGTCGTTAGCACTGCAGCCTCACAGCGCCAGGGTCCTGGGTTCAATTCCACCCTCAGGTAACTGTCTGTGTGGAGTTTGCACATTCTCCCCATGTCTGCGTGGGTTTCCTCCCAAAGTCCAAAGATGTGCAGGCTAGGTGGATTGTCCATAGTGTTCAGGAATGAATGGATTATAGGGGTTTGGGTGCTCTGAGGGTTGGTGTGAACTTGTTGGGCCGAAGGGCCTGTTCCCACACTATAGGGATTCTATGACTATTACTATTTCTATGCCATACTAGACCTGAAACATTAACTCTGTTTCTCTCTCTGCAGATGCTGCCAGGCCTACTGAGTTTCTCCAGCACTCTCTGTATTTCTTCTAAAGGAAATAACACAGTGACAAATTTCTCTCAGAAGACATTCCAAGCAAAATTCCAGCACATCAGTCTACCACCAGCATAAGCAATATTCAGTCGTGACATGTTGTATTCTACATATGCTTTCCCATAGACTGAATAATTTCATATTCTCAGTTTATATTTATCATTATAACATTTAACCACTGTCTTCCACAGATACTCAGCTAGTTTTGTTTTAGAAGGCCTTATTAATATAGCATTCATTTATGAACAATTTTATGTGTACTATCAGGTTCTGTGAATAAATTCTTCTGATAATGAATAGTGCAATATTCCGACCATCTTCTTTAATGCTTGGCAGACCATGCAGCTGCTATTGTCATCTCTGTACTGATCCTGGGCATTAACTCAAATATCAAGACCCTGGTGGCACCAGGATCCTTATCTTGTACTTTCACAGTAATCCCATATCAGCTTAAAAATAGTTAGCAGGAATCCTGCCAACATCATATTGATAGAAAGCAACAACACCACAGACCTCCATACTCACTGATCTGAACAAACAGAGGTTAGTGAAGTAACAAAGAGATTGCTCAAATACCAGAGATTTGATGATATGTTCAGGACATCAATTATACTTTCTTGTAGTTCTAAGTCTCTAATAAAGGTTTTTTATTAAGAATTGAAATATCAAATGAAAGGCCACAGCTTGACATAAAGGACGTCATTAAAGCTTGCAACGGTAGCAGAATAGACAAAGCAAGGCAGGAAGCAGTGCTTTGGCAGAGGTGATTTTACTGTACAATCAGAAACAAAAACAGAAATTGGTGGAGAAACTCAGCAGGTCTCACAACTTTGGTGGAGAGAGAAAAACAGAGATAACATTTCAGGTTCAATGATGGTTCTTCAGAATTCCTCTCAGCAATTTCTGATTTTGTTTCAGATTTCCAGCATCCGCAGTTTTTTTCGGTCTTTATTTACTATACCATCAGTTGTCCTCCAACCACTTATGACTAACCTGCACATTCCACAGTTCCTCTCGGAGCAGAAGAACATGGCAGACATGTCCTCACATCAGAAAGTCCTACAACTACAGTGTAATACCTGTAAATCAAAGCAAAATCACATTGTCAATGCAACTGTAACACATAATACAAATCATGCACGCCCTGAGCATTCAGCTGGCTAATAAATTGTTTACATTCTATTACAACAACTTACAGTTATATGGGGAATTTAAGATCATAAAATCATGCCCTAATGTGCCCCATAAAAACAGATAGCCAGTTGGATACAAAATTGGCTTGATGGTAGAAGACAAAGGGTGGTGGAAGTGGATTGTTATTTGGACTGGAGGTCTTTGACCTGTCGTGTGCTGCAGGGATTAGTTCTGGGTCCACTGTTGTTTGTCATTTATATCAACAATTTGGAAGAGAAGAAGTGCAGTTAATAAGTTTACGGTTAACACTGATGAAGAAGGTTATCTAAGAATACAAAGAGATCTTGATCAAATAGGCCAATAGGCCAAGAAGTCGCAGTGGGAGTTTAATTTGGATAAATGCAAGATGTTGCATTTTGGTAAAGCAAAACAGGGCAAGGCAGTTAATGGTAGGGGCCTGGAGAGTGTTGTTGAACAGCAGGACCTAGAGGTTAGCTTTCATTTTAAATTCCAGATTTTTAAAATTGAATCCAAATTCCACCAGCTGCCAAGGTGGAATTCAAACCCACATCCTAAGAACATTAGCCTGGAGCTTTGGATTACAGGTCCAGTGATGTTTGCACTTTGCCACAAACCCCACCTCTCTGCTTATTGGAATATGTGGGCCAAAGCATCTATTTACACATATAAACAAGGTTCCTATTGTAGTTACAACAACAGAACAGGCAACACCAAGGAAATGTCCAGTGCGTACCTTTGGAATCAGCTACAGTGAAAATCCTTGCCAGAAATTAAAATTTATTTTAAAAGTAAATTTGGAATCAACTTTTTTAGTCTTAAGAATGATAAACATTTGTAAGGGTATGCTCAGCCATTTAAGGGAGACAAAAAGTGGTGATAAAAATGCAGTTGAATTGAGAGATAAGGGTTGGTTAACTATAGGGATGAGTTTCAAAGTCTTTCTTCTTCCTTGATTTTGGTTCTATATTTGTCTGGGATTATGCGTGCAATACAGAAAACACACAGCAAAATGACAGTTATCCCCAGAAAATACTTGAGATAAGAAAAGGGGACACATAGTCAGCTCTAAGAATAGGCTGTAAAGGAGAGCTACGTCATTGGGTAATTAGAAATTTTATTCCACGAGTTTACTTTTCTTTTCCTCCTGCCCTTGCATTGAGATTCATTTTTCTTAGACCTCATAACAGAAAGCGAGAGAAATTTTCCCATCATTCCCCAAGGCTTGATTCAATCTCAGATTCCCACACTTCGAGAACAGGTCCCACCCTAATCTTAAACAGCTGCACTAAGAAGTAGCTACTGGCTCCATATTTTTGAAGTATTTTAACGTACAGCAAAAATGCTCAAACATTAATAGCATTCAAGCATTGTCTACCATGTTTTGAGCTCAAAGTACTTCAAATTTTATTAAATTAATACCTTAGCTCCCCATGGGATGTTAATGAACTCATTCTAAACTATGCTGCTTTACAAAGACACTGATTTATTCAATGGAAGGGGGAGGGCATCATCGCCTGTATAACACCACTGACATCTTAACATCTCTCCCGTTTAAGTAATCTAACTGCTGTCTGAATATTAAAAATCTTCAATGGATTTCTTATTATAATGGATAATATTTTGTGTAAATTGCTCAAGTCAGTCTACAGCAGTGTTATAGGTCAAATTGAATGCTTTCCTTTTTTAAATAAAAATCTTTTCAAAGCTCCACCTGCTGGAAAGCATGTTACAATTGATAGAAAATTAGGGGCTAAGCAAGTTCACTTTTCTGTTTTATGGCGGTGTCAGACATCTGGCAGAGTACATTGCCAGTAGCGAATTGGGGAAAATTCTCATTATAAACCTGGAGTGAGCACCATATCATGCAGCAAGCCCAGCAGTTTTAACCGGACTTACACAGGCTCCTGTCAGACAAAGTGAGGTGTGGACAGGGCTTCTCCTTTGAGGACCTGAGGCAACCCCCACTATGTCATTCCATGCCCATCCTTTCTTACCCCCAGTCTAAACCCTCAAGCCTCTTCAACCTCTCGCTGAAACAAAACTCCTGAGAGCCTTGGACTTCAACATGCTCCCAGTATGGGAATGAGCATTTTTGGGGCAGCACAGTGGCTCAGTAGTTTGCCTCACAGCACCAGGGACCTGGGTTCAATTCCAGCCTTGGATGACTGTCTGTGTGGGTTTTTGCCAGGTGCTCTGGTTTGCTCCCACAGTCCAAAGATGTGCAGGTTAGGTGGTCTGGCCATGCTAAACTGCCCTGAAGTGTCCAGGCTAGGTAGATTAGCCGTGGTAAATACCGAGTGAGGAGTGTGGGTCTGGGTGGGATACTCTTCAGAGGGTTGCTGCAGCACTTGATGGGCTGAATGGCCTCTTTCCGCACTGTAGGGATGTTATGATACTGTGATGATGGGGTAGCTTATAGTTTCACCCATGGCCATCATTGTCTATCTGGTATTACCCATACTACAAAGCTATTGGCCAATCTTAATTTCCAGCTACTCTCTAAACTCTCCCGCGAAAGGGGAGGCAGGTTTTGCCTAGAGGAAATTAATGCTGGTCCCAGGATTAAATTGCTGTTAGGCAACCGTTTAAGGAGGGTGGATTTGCTGCAGAGATCATGGCACCCCATAATATTTTGCCCACAAGTTCATCACGTCCTTAAATTCCTATACTATCATTCTGCAATGTGTACTTTAAGCCTCCTGTTTGTATCTACTGTATAGGGTGAATTTTCAGTAAATCTCAGTCCACTAAGCATTAGTTCATCAGACACCAGTGTAGCTTTCATTAAGCAAACAGCAATGAGTTCAAAGTTAGGGGAAAGAGTGTCAATTTTTAGTGCAACAACTTACTCGAACAAAGATATTCAAAAATCTTTCCAAACACATGTTGTGCCAGAAGGTCTGGGAAGAGATAATTGGTAGTTTTTGTCCAATGTTATCAGAAATGTAGACAAGAAAGCTCAACTGAATCATCATATGAGACATAATTAAGAATTTACTCACCATAGTGTTCTCAAAGAGATGACAAAAGTAAGGAAATGAGTCATTGAGTTAAATAAGACTACGAATGGAGAGTAATCATTTTAAACAATGAGAGACAAGACTATCGGCACTGTTTCCTTGGTGTCTAGTAGATTATAAGTGCATAATGTTGACAGACCGAGCATGCTGTTTCAGACAATGAGAAAAAAAAACAAACCTCAAATTGATTAACAAGCTAATTTGAAAAATTAAAGGGCTGACAGAAATTTTATAGAGAGGGAGGAGAAGGAGCTCACTGGATGAATAGAATGTTCTGAACAAGACTGTTACATGTTGGGAACGTCTCTTTAATTCCAAGTAAATGTTAAAAATGAAGGGATACATATGGTTTGCTTTGAATTCTGCCCTGGCTGGCTTGGCTACAATATGGAATCCATGGGTGGGGCAACTCAAATTGATTTAATGGGAAGAAAGTGCATGGTATTCACGCCTGTAGATAATGGCATGAAGAGGGCCCTTGTTCTGACATGGTAGTGTCCCTACACTGTGCTAGGAGGCCTGGGTTCAAGTCCCAGCTGTTCCAGAGATATGTAATAACATGTCTGAGCAAGCTGACGTTTCTAAAAAAAAAGAATGATAACAATAACAAAGGCTACAATATTTGTTTAGTCTTCAAGTCTTGTAATGAGGTGTTGGGAACGTTTGGTTTATAAATTGTTATGTTTAAATCAATTTTAGTTCCAAGTTAGAAGGGAGTTGGGAGTCTAGAAGGTGGAGTTGCTAATCTGGTTACAAGGCCCATCAATTTCACATTGCCATTGAGAAGGGCTTTGAGAGAGAGAAAACAAATTTGGGGATGCATGTCTCCTAACGCACCTTGAATTTCTAAGTTAAAATGTGTCTGATCTATGCACATTTCAAAATAGTGGCATACAGGTGTTGGTTACTTTTGTAAAGGGCTTTAAAAAATAATTAGGACAGACAATCCTTTCAGAAGAATGAACTAATCTAGTATGAGTCAAAGAGCAAGGCACCTCTGGAGCCTTAATGGAAGATTGTTAGTCTGTGTTGTGTTTACCACTGTCAGTGTAATCATTGAGGGCCATCAGCTTGTTTTTGCTTCAAGATAATCAATGGTCAATTGTAGTTTAGAGAAACACAGAGATATGATGTTGTTGAGCAGTTTTGGAAGAGACCTGGCTGGGTTCAGGAGCAAAATATAGCCTTTTTCGTAGAAAGAAGTAAACAACAGATCGAAGAATAAGTTACTTGAGTGAAAAGCTACTATGTGCAACTTCCGGATCAGGAGGGTTCAATTAGAAATTGACAGATTGTCAAAAGACTGAGAAAACCCTATAAGCTTTCAGTTTTAGGAGTATTCATGTGAGAAGATTTCACAGTTCACAGAAAAGAATTGGGAAGAATATTTGAGTCATAAACCTTACTTTTATACTGTAAAACAGAGTCTGTAGCCTTGTGTGCTTACTTTGAAGTGGATTACGACTCTGTAAAAAATTTAAAGTAACCTATCAAGCCAGATTTAATTCTGGGATCTGACTTGTCCAGTAGTTATCCAAAACTTCACAGACACAAGATATTCTGCAGCCATCTGAAAGGCAGAGAACAGGAAATAGAGGCAGTTTGCCCTGCACCTGAAGCAGAGAAAATGCTGGATTTATTCTTCACCACACAGAAAATGGGTGGAACCCATGCTCAGATTGAATAGAATGAGTTTGTGAGAATTTAAAACGTTGCTGGAGGATTCACCTAACTTAGAGTAGAATGAAGAAACTGCCAGTATAACCCTCACAGTGGATAAGAAGCTAGCCACCTGAGAGAGGGAAAAGGGGAGCAGGTCATCAAGAGCAAAGAATTGCTTTAGCTTAGTTCTGGGAGAGTGAAGTGAGAGACAGTAGAAAGCATAACCGTTATAGGGTAGCATTTATAGTGCTCACTTAAATCCTAGGTGAGAAAAAATAGAATTGGCCAAGGCTTATGTCACTATTTTGTTATTGAATGACCATTGGAAAGTGAATGAATATTTCATATGGACAAGATGTGGATTCTGAAACTCAATACCAAGTGATCACATTTTACAGGTGTTACCAAATAAGAAGAGTCATCTGATTTGAACAAAACATGGTAAGAGACATACAACATGTGATGCAGGCAAATCTAATTTGCAACATGTGGAAAGGAAAACAAGTAATGAAAGATGAAACAGAGAGATATGGAGATTAGCGAATTTGTAGTAAATATGTTGTCAATGCAGAGCTGCAATACAAACCAATAAAATGTCCAATCGCTTTGCAAAAGAAAAAGGATGAGAGTCAGAGGAGGTAATGATCAAACATTACAGCACTCTGATCAGACCACAATTTGAATATGGCATCCAGTCAATAATAGATATTCAAACACTAGAATCACAATGTTAAAGGGCTACAAGGGTGATCACCAGTGCTAGAGGTTAGAGTTATGAAAAGAGACCAGAGATACTAGAGCACTTAAAGCCTTGTCAGAAGTAACTGGGGGTGATGGGTCTGTGTGTACTCTTATAGGAACTAAACTAACGTAATAGAAGCAACTAAAATATAATTCTCTGTTAAATTAAATTGAAATGGAACTAGAGGACATGATTTCGAATTAGCAAAAAGTAATTCTCAAATTAACAGCAGGAAATTCTTATTTACAGAAAGACAATGACAAATATGTGGACTATCCTTTCAGATAAAGCAGTGTCAACAAAAATCCTGGAACTATTTTATAAACAACTGGAGGCTGCAATAGGGTGGTACTAAAATCACAAAGGAGGAATTACTTAATTCAAATGGCCTTCCTCATGCTTAATCAACTTATGATTTTGTAATATGTCATTCACTGCACGCAAATAATAACTGCATGCAATGTAGGCAAACTCAATAATCTGAAAAACACTGCTACTATATCACTTCACATTTGAGAGTTGGCTTTGCAATCAACCAGACTCATGGGACATAAATTCACTTCTGCATTTTTGGCATAGGCAGCTTATATAAAAGGACAGCCTCCCTGTCTTCCTCTGGAGCACAGATCTACTTACACACCATCACTTAAGGAAGTGGAAATACCTACACTCCAGTAAAAGTAACTTTTCTGCATTTGGACTTTAAAGTACCCTGTTTGGGCAGGAGTAGAGAGAATTTCAGTTTTTGCTGCATGCTTTATGTGACTTTGCAGCATTTGATGCTCACGCTGGATGACCAGAAAGGAAATATTATAAAGCCAACATCCCTCACACAATAGAACAAACTTTAGATACCAAATTGAAGTAAAATAGCTTTCACTTCCATGGTAAAGGGAGAATGTGTACTTCAATCCTGCTTCTTCCACAGGTCATCCTCGCAAAAGTCTGCAGTTACCCAAAATGCGCAAAGTGCTGGTTATAGTTACCTCGAGGTAGTTGGGATCTGAGCATTACAGGCAAAGGCAACATTTATTGCTCATTCCCGATTGTCTTTGAGAAAGCAGTGTTGACCTAACTTCCTGAACACAACTGAATGCCTTATTCAGCCATTTCAAATTCAGTTCAGGATCAGTTCATGTTGATGGGTCTCTGGAGTTGCATAGTCCAGACTGAGTAAGGATGGCAGATTTCCTAAAGGACATTAGTTAAACCAGTATTCGTTCACAACAATCTAATAGTCTTACAGTTACCATGACTGATACCTGCTTTTTATTGCAGAGGTAATCAGTGAGCTGAATTTAAATTGCTCGGCTGTTATGTTGGGATTTAAGCACATACCTCAGGATTACTAGTGCAGTAACATAATGACTGTGCTACTGTACCCACCCTCACTGACGCCTTCACCAACGGTCAACATGTGCCCAGGACTCTGAATACAAAATCATGATGGCTCATATATATTGTGTACACAATGTCGTAACATAACTGCATCATATAATATGAATAGGGTACTTTTGAAGACATTCCTAATATTTATTTAATAAAATTTTAGACGTAATTGACGGGTACAGATTAGGGTATCAATGACGACTAATGATCTCACTTCAATCAGTAACTGAATTTACAGAGCTTACTTCCTGTGAATCTGATTCAGAGATTTAAAATTCAACGCAGCTTAGAGAAACCTAGTTCTTATTTTAATATTATCTTAGTATAAGATTAATATGCCATGTAATTTATTTATTTGTGGACTGGAAGACTTGGAAAGATTTTTGATCTCTTCTGCGTTCAGTAATGTTTTCCTTATCGTTGAAAAGCACTTTTAATCTGATCTATAAAGTGACAGTGCAGAAACCATACCATGCCAGTGTCGGATTCTTTTGTTTTCCCTTTCTGAAATGTGCCAATACGTTTAAATGGTAAGGAATTACTGTTGTAATCTTTAAACCATTATATTTTGATATCTGTGTACAGCTAATGGCCAGTGCAGCAGTCTTTGGATTACAAACTACAGAGGCTGAGGCTAATTATAATTCATTGATAGAGGCTATCTAGCTGTTGGCGTTTTAATTGAATATCTACATGCTGAACCTAATTTTATTGCATGTTGTTTGTGAAATAGTCAAGACAAAGCTATTAGGGCAGTGACATCTGAAGGTAACAATTGACCTTTAACCATAGTTCACTTTGCTAGCTCACAATTAGATCCATGGTTTGGTTTTCGATATTTTAGCCAATGGTACATTACTATTGGAGGGTTTCACTCTGTGAAGTTGCAAAAATATTGCTCGACTCTCATCATTTGCAGTACACACATAGAATACCAGAAAATGTTGAAAGCCCGTCTCATTTGTCTATATCTTTTTCAGATTCAGTGGGAATTTCGAGCTCATTTGAAAGTTAGCACATCTCAATAATTTGTTCACAGATTAAATAATCCTCGAAATTCAACTGGTAACATTGGAATTGATGTGACATCAAATAAACACACACAATCCCCAATAATGAACATAACATTTGATCCCATTTTAAACATACTAGTGTGCACTGTAGATGCAGGTGAAACTATCCCAGTTATTATAAATATTGCTTTACTTGATCTTAAGTAGCACAGTTCAACTGTTAACTATCTAGGCATTGTTAAGATTGCAGGACTACACAAGGCGGTTATGTTTAAAAAGCCTCCTTTAATTTCAGATGAAATAGAATGTTCTGGACGGGATGCAGGGCAGGGTAAGTGGGGGGAGATGAAGGTTGGGGGAATCGCTGATAATCTTTCTTCAGAGTCAAGCTCATGTGATGTGGCTGTCATTGGAAAAGAAATTGGAAAGTGAAACTGACTGAAAATCAAGTTAGAATCACCATGCCTGGACAACAAAATAGGAACAGCTGCTTTTTGCAGATGGACAAATAGAGGGAGAGAGAAAGAGACAGACAAGCAGACAGACAAACACACAGAAGGACACATAGACAGGAACACACACACACACACACACACTGATAGAACTTTGTCAAGGTTCCACAGTGGCCATTGCTGTCACAGAGTTCGTGACCACAAAATGACCCCGAACCACATCTCCCCACAGCAACGTGTTTGACTCTGAACTGTCCTCTGAGCAATTAGGGATGGGCAATAAATGCTGCCTAGCCAGTGATGCCCTCATCCCGTTAATGAATAAAAAAAAGGCTTGCCCTATAATGGTCAAGAAGGAGAAAGGTTCGGTAATTACCCTGGCAAACAGTGCCCACACAAAGCATCTGTGGTCGCTGTCCCCAGACGGACATAACTCCTGTTCAAATTGGCACAGTCGGTGTGAGGCTTGCAGGACCCAGAGCCATAGGTCTTTGAAAAGGTGGATGGCAAGCAGCTTCTACAGCTCATTTTGATGCCTTTTCCGTAGCCACATTCCTAAAGAACAGAGATTATATTTATTACAATAAAAAGTAATTATCCTTCCCAAACAAGCAGCTGTCTTTGCGTACAATTACGTCAGTAAGAAAAAGGTACGATAATGGTGAACACAAAATACAGGGTCAATTAAAGTTTTACTGTATTTTCAGTAATCACTATCAACATCTTGCGGTTACCGTTGGCCAGAAACTGAAATGGACTAGCCATATAAATACCGTGGTTTCAAGAACAGGTCAGAGACTAGGAATCCTGTAGTGAGTAACTTATCTCCTGACTCCCTGTAGCCTGTCTGACATCTACAAGGCACAAGTCAGGAGTGTGACAGAATATTCTTCACTTTCCTGGATGGGTGCAGCTAAATGCAATCAGCCCATTTACCACTCAACATTCACTCTCTCCACCACCAACACTCAGTAGCAGCAATGTGTAACATTTACAAGATACATTGCAGCAACTCACCAAGGCTCCTTCAACAGCACCTTCCAAATACATGACTACTACCATCTGGAAAGGACAAAGGCAGTGGACACATAGGAACACCATCAACTGCAAGTTTCCCTTCAAGTCACTTACTATCCTGACTTGAAAATATATTACCTTTCCTTCAGAATCACTGGGTAATAATCCTAGAACTCCCTCTCTAACAGCACTGTGCATGCATCTGAAATAACATAGAATGCAGTGCTTCAAGAAGGTAGCTCCTTGTCAAGTGATCGAAGTCCACTGACCAATGGCAGACACATTGGTGAAAATAGATGACCCTCAGGAAGCTGCTCCTCTGCCCTTGGAGAGAAAAGTCCCCTTCTTCTACCCTGCCCTCAACAATCCCACCCCATTCACCTGTCCTTGGGCTGTAGTGATGATCCCTCCTGTTGACCCTAGACCAGCAGAGTCCATCATTCCTGGAAGCGTTAAAAAAAAATTGAAAAACCCATCCCACACCAATCTGCTGGGGAATTGCCACGGTGGAGCTAGGAATGCTGAGTGGGCAGCCAACAGCCTCCCAGATATAGATTTAATCCAGACAGGCTCCTTCAACTGGCTATAGTGGGATTGCCAGCAGCTTTCCAGCTGGTGGACAGGGCATCCACTACAGCCATTAAGTTCCACCCACACAGGCAAATAAGGACCCCGCCAGCTTTGGGTGGCTCTCTATGTTGCCTGCTGAGGTATATGGATCGGGTACTGACAATTTGTGGGTAGATAACTAACCTGTTGCATTTTACCCACCAAGACTGATTTCTGTTGCACTGAGACTAAAATTGATATCGTTAATTCCAAAAGTTTTTATTGTCTACTATTACTGCCATTATAAAGACATACACTATAGAAAGCAAAAAGAAGTTGTATTCATTTAGCAGTTGATGGCCAACCAAGGGTTTTTGATGGACAGCAGACAATTCTGTCAAACTGAACTATAATGGAGACCAGATAACCTGCTTTTGGTGATGTTGACTGAGACAGAGAAACCGCCTGGGATATCTTCCTGGAACAACTTCAAAATAGAGGCATGGATCCATTTTCAGAGAAGAGACAGCCTCAGTGAAACATGCCATTTGAAAGGAAAGCCCTCCTTAGATGGACTTGAATGTAAAACCTTCTAACGTCAAGGCAAGAGTGCGAACAACAGAGTCATGGCTGATATGGTTTAAATAAAGCATATGTAATTCAAAGTCTACGCATTATTTTAAGCTTCACAGGCACGGAAGAAGGATTGCATTAATTTTACCTGTTCAGGCTCATGTCCTGGAGGACAGCAAAGGCAGGGGACACATTGACCACTGTCTTCAAATTCCTGCTTGCCACACTGGAGCATCATTGCACTTTTCCAGCTTAGCAGCTATGTAAGTACAGGCACAATATTAGTGACACAATAATTGAACCTCCTTATTCCTAGCAGCAGCTACAGAAGTGCTCAGCAAGTAAGCTATGGAGTTACACCGTCACCTTCTGCCAAGCAGCTGACTTATTGTTTCATTAACCTTTGACATGCAGAAATATGAATTTCCCCTCTCTCCTCTCATTTTCCCAATATGGAGACAGAATGAGGCTTAGCTTTTCTAACTACTACCTGTTCAACCACTGGGAACCCAATTATGTTAAATGGGATCTCTCCAGTTGTTAAAACAGTGCCAATTGGAAAATCTAAGCTGGAGAGGCAGTCATTGATGTGTTGCATCAAACATAAATGGAATTTATTTCCAGTTTTGTGAATATACCTCTTTTTTAAAGTTGTTTTTATAAGAATCATTGAAAGTTCATTGTGGGCATTAGAAGGTATATTTAACAAGGCTTTCTAGAAATTGCATGACTGTTGCTAACTATTTATTTTATTGTGGATATGAATTGTGATTGCCTTGGAGAGGTTATTATTTTATGTGGTTGAGCAAGTTGGAGGGAATCCTGCTGAGAACAAGCTGCCCAGCTGATCTCTCCCTTTCTTGAAAAGAAAACCCTCTATATTAGTTCAGGATGAAATCTAATTCTTCCTTTGCAAAAGTGATTGAGAGAACACTTCAAGATTGCATTTCTGGAGTAACCTGTATTTCCTAGACCCAGAGAGAACACTGCACAATTAACAACTTAACCATGTTGCCAGGACATCGGAGCAACAGACTCTGGAATGTTCCATGCTTTGTCTTTTTGCATTCAAGCATAACCAATTGGCCAAAGTATGTTTCCTTTTCAGAAAACCCCCCAATCTTTGCAGAGAAATCTACTTTTTACTACTTTTTCTGGAGAGTGAGAGAGCGAGGAGGGAAAGAGAGCATGAGAGAGAGACAGCGAGAAAGAGGATGAGGGAGAGACTGTTTTGGAGACGTTTAGGAAGATAAATATTTATACTGCTGTATTACTGACTGAATATGTTAATCAGGTATTGCATGTTAATTAAGTTTCATTTTGGTACTAAAGCAATGATTGTGTTTATTAATAAATCTAGTTGATAGATATTGATATCTAAACTGATATAGATAAGGTATTTAATTGGTCATCTTGATAACTTGAAAAAATATACTGATGTTATGCTGTGACCCATGGAATAGTGGGTCTGGAGCAAAAGCAGACTCCTCCAGCCTCGGTTGTAACATGAACAAATAATGACTGTGACCAAAGACTAACATTTGACTAGTTATTGTGATGCAGCATTTGCAAGTATGGAAGCAACTGTTGAGCCACACACTAAGGTAAAGTAGGTTACGTGAGCAGTTTTATGCAAATATTAATTATGAAGCACAATAAAGTTTGAAGATATCCAACATATTATCAGGATAGATCAAGAATATAAATGATAATTTGTCCTTTTTTGCTTGGAAGAAAGTAGGCAAAGGAAGAATGGGCAGAAACTCCCATGTCAAACTAAAAATTCTGGACCATATCTGATTCAAATTGGATATCAAATAGTGGACAAACCATCTGTAACCAGGCTGTCCAGTAAATAAACTATTGAATAGCTTGAATCCACTTTCATTCAATTTTCACCAGAAATGTTGGAGTACACACTCTTTTAGGAAAAAAACTAAGTTTACCAGCCATTCATTCACATATTACAAATGGAATAGAAATTGGGCATGTTCGATTTTTAGGCAAATGCTCAATCTTGTCTGTGCTTATGATATTCATAGCATTCATATAATTCCTTCCAGCTGGGCTTAGGTCCAGGAACATAACCTTTGTAAAACTCCACTTCTATCAATGACAACTGTTGTTGCTGCCACTTCATTGGAATAAAGCAACCACAACAGAATTGAAGAGGATTGCAATAGACATCTGTGTTATTACTCCACTCCTGCTATACCTGGTGTTATCCCATCCTTTGAATATTGCCTCACAACGGAAGAATTTAATGCAATAAACAATTCAATGCATTGGTTACTCACTTAATAAACACAGATTCCTCAACAGGGTTTCAACAAATGACTGGCTGCCCAAATAATTTGAGTACAACAATGCTACTTAAACTATGTTTCTGACCTATTAGTACCATGAAGTCCACTAAAGGAGTGATCTATTTTCTAAATTAGAACTTTCTTTTCATTATTGCTAAAGCTCAGTTGGCTGGACGGCTGGTTTGCAGTGCAGAGTAACACCAGCAGCATGGGTTCAACTCCTGCATCATCTGAGGTTACTATGAAGATCTCTTCTTTTGCCTGTGGCATGGTGTAAGGTATCAGAAGCACTATACATCACATCCAATTATAACTGGCCTAACTAAACAATTTTCTGAAATTCACTGGCTCATGGTTATAATGGCTTTTCTGAAGTCTGAAACTAGGAATTGAGGCCCTTTTATTTTAAGCACTCCTGTGTTTTTGAAGCAAAACTAATAGTGTTAAAAAGTATATAAAAATAATTATGGGAAGATGACATTGTTTTGGAATTGTAGAGATAGACTTTTTGCATATACAGGACACTAGAATGCAAAGCAAAAATTAAAATTTCATCCTGGATCTCCTTCCCATCAATTTTGGTCCGGGTAATAGTCAACAATCCAATTTCCACTGGCTCTGAATCCAAGCTGTTCCTCTAGTGTACTTTCGGCAAGAATCCTAGACAAATAGCTGTTTGCCCATCCAAAACTATTGTTAGCTGTATCCTAACTTGCATCAAGTTCCATTCTCTCTATGCTCACTGACCTCCACTGTCTCCTGGTCCAGCAATGCCCAAAATTTACAACTCTTCTCCAGATGCTCAAATCCCTCTATTGTCTCTCCCATAATTCCAGAACCTCCTTCAACACTACAGAGCCCGAAAATATTCCCTGAGAACACAATATTTCTCTAATGCCGACCTCTTGCGCACTCAAAAGCTCCTTTATGCTGCCATTAGTAGCAGTTACGACAGGTCTCTGATGTTCTTATTCAATCTACCTCTTGCTCTTCTGGTGCCATCTGAAGCCTACTTGTTTGATTAAACTTTTGGCCATTGTTAATCAAAATCTCTGCTCTTTGCCTCGGTGTCCCCTTTTTGTCCAAATGCCATTAGTTGTTTCACTACATCCAAGATATAATGTAAATTCAAGTTGGTAGCGGTGATACCAGAGTTCAGAATTCATTCAAGTTCATTATAGATCTGGCATGCAACCCAAGCCAAATTTAGCCTAGGCGACAAGGGGATTCATTCTAGTGTCCTGTATATGCAAAAAGTCTATCTCTACAATTCCAAAACAATGTCATCTTCCCATAATTGTGTCTCACAATGCACTACACATTTTCTTCCATTGGAAGTATAACCAAAATAGAGATGTTTTTAAACCATTTTCCTCTAAATATGGAAGTACTTCATATACTCGGGAAGTTAAGATACACGAAGCTTTTCTTCCCAACATTTATTTTATGTTTTACACTCCAAATCTCCGAACTATACATCCAACTTTTCACCACACTAAAATAAAATCAAATGTTTTCGGCATTATCAGTATCTGAGCTGAGGATGTATCAGAATGTTAACTCTAATGACTTGATTCACCTTCAACCAAAGGCTGAACATGCGTAGTTGCCCAACCAGTGCGTCTAATAGAAATGGTCAATGCTGAAACATTTGTCTGTCAAAGTTACTTACAGTGACATAAATAAATAATACACAAGAAGGGAGGCTCCTCTTCATCTTCAATGTGCATTGACCCTAATAAGAAAAAGCAAGGCTCAATGAAAGATTAATAATAAACAATTAACATCCATTTAAGCATCATTTGTACTCAGGAAATAATCAGAGCAGACAGCATGAGACCAAGGGTGGAGGAATCCACGTAAACTTTCACACGTCATTTCACCTACAACACCTCATGTGGATTCAAGCCTGGCTCGTGGGTTGAAAATCCCTCGTTGCTGGCTGCAAACCTATCATGTGAAACGCTTAACAGAACAGTGGCAAACAACCATTCGCAGCTGTTGTTCTTAAGCACTGCGGCCCAAAAGTGTAATCGAGACTTTTTAACCAATTTAGATGTATATCTAAATTAGTGAGAACATTGATTGAAACTTCATATGAAGTCATTTTCTTATAATGCACACCTGCCATAGAACTTCACCCAGAGCTCAAAACATGAAAATAATCTCTAGAATATCTGTCAGTAAATTCAGCATAATCCTTCAAACATGTTCAGCTCTTTGTGGGAATGTAAGAACACTAGGTCTTCCAAATCTCACATTCAGTCCAGGCATGTGGTCCAACAGGATGAGACGTAGAGGGAATGACTTGTGAAAAAGAAAACAGAAATACTAAATGGCCTAAAAGTTTGAAGAATTTTAATATGATAGGAAAAAAACAAATGCAAGAATTGGTGGACGGAGGAAACAACAGGAATTTTTGTTTCCCTCCTGTCTTCCTGTTTGGATAATCTTTCTCCTCTCCAACAGCTCTATGGTCTTGATTACACATTTGAAATAAGATTCAACGTTGTCCATCAGGTGAGTCTTCAGCTGGAGAAAGTGTGGGTCAGGCACCCGACCTGAAACATCAACCTTCCTGCTCCTCTGATGCTGCCTGGCTTGCTGTGTTCCTCCAGCTCCACACTGTGTTATACCTAATACCTCAGCATGGGCTACCACTTCCAGAAGGAAGGGGAAATATCAGAGGATTTTTTTTCTTTAAAACATCATGCACCACAGCAAGTGGTTGATTTTATAGAATCCCCACAGAGTGGAAACAGGCCATTTGGCCAACAAGTCCACACAAGCATTCTGAAGACCACTCCCTAACCCTATTTTTCCCATTGCTAACACGCCTAACCTACATATCCATGAACACTACGGACAATTTAGCGCAGCTATCCACCAATCCACCTAACTTGCACATCTTTGGACTCTGGGAGGAAACCAGAGCACCCGGAGAAAACCCACTCCAAACATGGGGAGAACGTGCAAACTCCACACAGACAGTCAGTCGAAACTGAAATCAATCCTGGATCCTTGGCACTGTGAGGCAGCAATGCTAACCACTGAGCCACCATGCCACTTGGTCGTGAACCATTCAGAACAATGCCCAACGTTTCTTTGAATCATTTCTCATGTTTAACATTTAGCTCCTCATTTTAACATAATTGAAATAAAGTACCTCTAGCAATGTAGTACTTCCTCTGTACGGCACTGAAATGCCAATTTTGACATTGAAATTTTAACACAAAAGAAAATTGTGCTGACTAGCCACATAATAAGGTTGAGTGTGTCTATTGTCCATAATTTCCTATGAAAGTAATGCCAGACTAATGATGCTTGCCATTACTTATGTGCAAAAGTACAATATCCTCAGACAAGGCATATGCTTGATTAAACATGGAACTCCAATAGTTGCTGTTGCAAAGCTAATGGCTAAGCAGCACATTTTTGTCTGGCTCACCAATGAAATGTGGTAAGCAGCATGATGTTGCTGCATTTGCATGGCAGATACCTTTTGAATGGTGAGTTGGCCACAGGATCACAACCTTCTGGGCATCCAGATTTCTAAAACAAGAACACCTGCAAAAGGAGATAGAAAGATGGTGTACATTGACCCTGACAAACAGGAGACAGGCTCTGACAGCAATGACACCTGGAGGATAATTGTTTGGATGGGCATTGGTAGAGGCGAGCAGAAATGAAAAGCTGAACTGGCCACAAAGACGACCCAGGGAAAACAGAATCAGCTCCTTCTCACCTCAGTCTTCCTCAGCAGCAAATGTGGCAGAGATTGCCATCTCGGAGTGGGGGACTCCTGAGATACACTCGGGTATGGTCCACACAAAGGCAACCACCATGGTGTAAATCACCATCTTACGAGATAGAAATGTGTCACAGTGGCAAATAGGAATGAACCTTAGAGCTAGACACTTGTGACACAAGGAGCCTGTTTTGATACCACGTAACGCTTTAATTCATGCATATTTTAAAATTGAAGGAATGTGATTTATTTATCCTTTTTGATCCCTTTCGCTCCCTTAACCCAATCTTTCTTCCCCTCTTTTTCATTACTGGATGTGGCATTGAATTTAGTCACTCAAATTTATATGTTTCTTCTCAATCCTTGCCCCATTCACTTCACGATGATAGATTAAGGAGACACAGTAGTTTGCTGTTCACTCCTAGTTGAAGAGTTTCTCTTGCAGCAACATTATCCACTGGCATATCCAGCAACATATAGCTCAAAGTCAATATTAAAAATGCCATGCCACGTCCAGCTAATGACTGAAAATGTTACATTCACTCCTGCAACAATTTGTAGCCCCTTATGACATGAGGAGAAAAAGGGAAGATCACAATATAAGGTTTCAATTTAAATAAGTCAAACTTTCCACTGGATGAAAAATAAATTTAATAGAGTAAACTTGGTTGAACTGTTAATGAGTTAATCTACAAACAGTGCAAAGCATTCAAAGGATTTGTAAGATCCAATACTGGTTGGGTCCCTACTCTTAAAATGAAAGCCACCACTTTTGTTAAGCAAATCATGGTCAACAAATGAGGCAAGCTAAGGGAAGAGGCTTACAAAGATACAAAGAAATCCAACAGCCTGGGAAGCCACATAAGATACCAAGCAGTAAGAGGTACCAAAAGAGAATGAAAAACAAAACTATTTGCAAGTGTAATCAAAACTGACAAGTTTTATATTTATTGCAGATGTAAGACTCTCTGAATTCAGGGTTCATAACTTATATTGCAAATGTCACAACATTATTTTAAAAAGTCAAGGAGAGAGAAACCAGATAACTGCAGAAAAATCCAATAACCAATAGTTGCGATGAAGTTACTGAAATCTGTTATCAGGTACAGAGTGAGGGTTGTTACAATATTAACTTTTTGTTGCTGAAACAAAGAAGGAAATCGGGACAAACTGGATAAGCTAATGTCCTGTTTTTAAGCTGTGGCATTCTATCGTCAAATGATTCTTTCAGTTACAATAAAAAACAAATCTAATTTAACAGTAAAATGTAAATAACATGTCCCCTTGATTGTAACTTTTGCTGACAGTACAAATAGGTTGAAAGATAGTTCCCAAACTGTCATATCACTGCATTGGTTCCATGCTGATCACTGGTTTGTTTTGTCTAATACAGCATCAGTTACAGTTCTGAGGAACGGTGTCAGAACTGATTGTGAAGAAGGGTCACTGGACTTGAAATGTTAACTGTTCCCCTCCGCAGATGCTGTCAGGCCTGCTGAGTTACTCCTGCAATTTTGTTCTTGTATAACTTTAATCCAATTTGGTTCATCATTGTGTGTCTCAGGATGCCTTGTACAACAAATGACATTACAACACTCTAGTACTGAGTTATAAAATAATTTAGATGGTAACTATGATATTTTTTCCTTTATGCAAAACCTCTACAGTTAGCCTGATTTACAAGATCTGCTTTGAATATAACTACACCTCATTCACAAAGGGAAAGCTGAACAACGAGCTAGAAGAGCCAATGCTTTAATTCTTACATGGAATATCAGCACCACTAATAAGTCCTGTAATTTGTTGCCCTCCCGAATTTGTCTTTGAACTGAGTTATATCCTTGGCCACTTCAGGGGTCTGTTAGGAGTCAGCCACACTGCTGTGGATCTGGAGACAAGTGTAAGCCAGACCACGTAAGGGTGGTCCCTGTAGGATATTAGTGAACCTTGATTTTATACAATGAACTACAGTTTCTTTCAAGTCACCATTACTGAAACCAGGTTTAGATTCGAGATTTATCAACATACCCTCAAAAGCCTCGATTACTGCAGGGGTAGGAAATGCTGGCCTAGCCAGTGAAACCCACATCCCTTCAATGATTTAAAAAAAGGATTAGAGTAGTAGTAATATTGTACCACATTCCCAAGAATGCACTAAGCACCCCAAGCAGAGATGCTGTGGGAAGCAACATTCTATTTTTTCCACATGACGAAAGATTTAAGGGTGAAATGTGGTGTATTGAGATATTTCCTTCTTTGAGATACTGATGCAAAAGCATATTTGAAAACTGGTGCTTTGTTTTGGTCTGATCAGTCTAGATTGCAGGGCAATATAAAGTAATTTGCAAAATTATGCAAAACAAAGAGAACAATTTCCAAGTGTTGAGTGATCAAGAACAAGGGACCATAAATGTAAGAGATTTTGACCAGAGGACAAGAGAAACAGACATATATGGACAGTTGTACAACTGTGGAATACACTACCACTGTTAGTGAATGAGTTAAAAAAAACTATTAGTATGTATGACATAAATCGCTGAGAGAAAAGGGATTGAATGGATATGAAAACAGGGTGGTTAAACATGATCAGGACTATTTATTCATGGAAGGTAAATGTTGACATGCCCTAGTTGGACCAAAGGCCAGGTTCAATACTAAAATCTCTATTTTTGTGCCAAGTAATTGTGTTACTTCTTTTATTACATAATGATAAATGATTTATTTTTGAACTGGACAGTATTAAAAATTCTTTTCTCTTCTAGGTCGTCAGCAGATAGTAAATAACATCTGCAGGACCAAAGTGTTTATTTTGCCAATAGATAAGATAAGGCGAAACCATATACTAAACAGATGCTATTGTGTCATCATCAGCATTTCCAAGCACTTGTACCTACACTCACTGAAACGGGATTGAACCTGGAAATAATGCACTTTTCTGCTTCATTATTTCAGTTAGCACAAAGTATTACATATTTAGGTCCCCAGGGTATGTAACAATTTCATTTAATTGTTTATTCTTGTTTCTAGGTATGCTTAATGCTTAAATTAATAATTTAGTCTGACTTAGAATCTGCCCTGATTTAAAGACAAGATTACAGTGGATTTATGTGCTATTTCTGATGCATTCCTCAAAAGATCATTATGCCACATGCTAAGGTCAAGCTTCACTTCTTTGGAAATATAGACTGCTCTGTGAAATCTAAGTTTGATCAATGATGGGAGAGCCAAGGACATCAGTGCAATAGATAAGGCAGAATCATTTGCAGCCATCTTGAAATACTGAGTGGATAAACCATCTTGGCCTTCTCCAGAGGTTCCCCATTGAACAGATGCCAGTCTTCAGTTAATTTGATTCACTCCTCATGACATCACAAAATGGTCAGATGCACTGGATACTGCAAAGGTCATGGGCCCTGACAACATTCTGACAACAGTACTGAAGGCTTGTGCTCAGGTAGCTGCTATAACTGTAGGCAAGCTGTTCCAGTACAGTTACAATAAGGGAATTTAGCAGACAATGGGGAAGATTGCCCAGATATGTCCTGTACACAAAAAGCAGGAGAAATCCAACTCCACCAATTACCACCCCATCGGTCTACTCTTGATCCTCAGTAAGGTGATGTAAGGAGTCATCGACAGTGCCTTCAATCAGCATTTTCTTTGTTGTAACCTGCTCACTAATGTTCAGTTTGAGTTTTGCCTGGGCCACTGAGCTCATGACCTCATTACAACCTTGGTTCAAATATGGACAAAAGAGATGAAGTCCAGAGGTGAGGTGTGAGTGAATGCCCTTGCTATCAAGGCTTAAGTTAACCAACTGTGGCATCAAGGAGCTCTAGCAAAACTGGAGACAATGGAAAATCAGAACAAAACTCTTCACGGGTCAAAGTCGTATCCAGCACAAAAGAAGACGATTACAGTTGCTGTAGATAACTTATCTCAACTTCAAGACATCTCTGCAGGAATTCCTCAGGGTAGTGTCGTAAGCTCAGCCGGCTTTAACTGCTTCATCAATGACCTTCCCTCTATCATAAAGTCAGAGGTGGGACTGTTTGCTGATGATTGCATAATGTTCAGCCACATTCACAACTACTGGCATACTGAAACCATTCAGATTGAAAAGTACCAAGGCCTGAAAAACATCCAGGTAAGTAACATTTGTACCACACAAGTGCCCATCTGCATCTCCAACAAGACATTATAGTCATAGCTCCTTGATGTTCAATGGCATGACCATTAATTACTCCTCCACTATCAACATCCTAGGCATTACCATTGATCAAAAACTGAACTAGACTAGCCACATAAACACTGTGGCTACCTGATCAGGTCAGAGTACAGGAATCCAGCAGCAAGTAACTCACCTCCTGACTTCCAAAGCCTGTCCACCATCTACAACACACAAGTCAGGAGAGTACTGGAATACTCCTCACTTGGATCAGTGCAGCTCCAACAACTTTTGAAAAGCTGGATAACATCCACACAAAAAAGCAGGCAGCCCACTTGACTGGCACCACAACTACAAACAGTCACTCCCTCTATCATCAACACTCAGTAGCAGCAGTGTGGACATCTACAACATGCACTGCAGATATTCACTGAAGATCCTTAGGCAACATCTACCAAACCTATGACCACTATGAACTAGAAGGACAAGGGCAGCAGAAATATGGGAACAGCACTACCTGCAAGTTCCCCTCCAAGCCCCTCAACACTCTGACTTCAAAATATATCATTGTTTCTTCAGTGTCATTGGGTCACAATTTTGAAACCCTCTCCCTAATGGCATTGTGGGTCTACCTACAGAAAATGGGCTGCAGCAGTTCAAGAAGGCAGCTCACTACCATTTTCTCATGGGCAACTAGAGATTGGCAATAAATGCTGGTGACACCCAATTTGCATAAATGAATAAAAAAGACCTGTGATTGATAGATTTTGCTAGACCATAGCATTAAATGATATGGAACCACGCCAAATCGATGCAGTTGGGATACATATTTATTTCAAAATATACTTTAATCATAAATAAATCTCTATATAGTCGCAAATGCAGTTTGGTTCAGGGATCCAGTTGAAATACAAATCAGCAACAATCTGACTGAATGGTCAACATAGTTCAAATTCTACGTTAAGTCCAGTAGCCATTTTAACCCTTCATATTTGATTGCACCTTAGTTTTGAGAAGCTCAGCAGATGCAGAGAATTCTTCCCTGGGTATGTTCAGGGGTGTAGACAATGGAAAGAGGAGATTCATCACACACAACATCCTGTTTTATATCTTGACTTTCAGAAGACATTTCTCAAAAGTTTTTCCGATGTTCATATTGGATTGGCTCTCTGAAGCTATTAGAGAATGTTGAAGAGTTTGAGAGATCCAGTAGGCAACAAGCTGTCACGTAAAGAATAAGTTAATTACTCGGGGACAAAAAACAGAAGTTGCTGGAAAAGCTCAGCAGGCAGCATCTGTGAAGAAAAAAATCAGGTTTAACGTTTCGGGTCCGGTGACCCTTCCTCAGAACTCTTGTGTGTATTAATTACTCGGGGAATTTACACTAGGCGCGGAATGGTTAGTGAACACCAGTAACTACTGTCACAACACTGTAAAACTACTGTGGGACAAATTATTTCTGTTCATTTAACCACGTGTTGCTGTTAGCCAATGCACAGACTAAAACATGAACTGATGCAGTGTTTAATCTTCTTACATTGAGTACAACCAGCCGGTTGTATTTGATTTCCTTTCTCAAAGGAAATAAGCTAAAATGCAGTCGAGTGTTCTCCGTTAATCACTGTCCCCTTCCTTTCTGGTAAAAGGGGGAGTACGGCACAACTGATTTTCGTTCTTCTAACCCAGTTCAAATTTATCAACGTCCGACAAAGCTTGTGACCGCAAGCGTCTGTTTCAGTCTGATATTAATCATTCTGTGGTCAATAAGGGAAGTGTCGTACTCTAATACTACAGAGAGTTGCTAACGATGCATTTTCTTTGTCACCAAAAGAGACCCACATCGGGCGAATCCTACCACCACTCCCGGGGAATCTCGATCCTGGACACCGGGACAAAATTCTAACAGCGCTGCGACTTTGGCTGCATTCCCAGTAATCTGCTGTCCTGGAAGTTACCTCAACCTAGAATCGTCAAACTTCCTGTGCTTCCGAGAACTAACCCACCGCCGTGTCATTCAGCGCGTGTAGCCCATTTAAACAAATCCCCGTGACATTTGACACGGCCACGATAATTTGATCCCCTCCCCAGTTAAATTAGCGGCTAAAAAGACCCCAAAAGGGTAAAAACAGCGCCGTTTACAGTCATCATTTTTATCTCTCGGTATGTCCAAGTGTTTTCCAGTCAGTAGGGGTTACGTACGAGCTATTTCCTTAGCTCTGTTTTATGTTTAAAACGTAGACAGCTGAAATAAAAATCAAGAACTGCCTTTAGGTGGAGAGGTAACCTTTCATAACGACAGTGCTGATGACAGGGCTGAAATTAAATTCTTTCCCTCTACTGTCAGACCAGCATTTCCTGCACTTAAAATCAGATTACACGCTTGCAACAAAAGTCTAACCATTGAACCTCCCGAGCATCCCAAAGGAAACATTTCTATTTTGAGAAAGTGTACCTTTGTGCTGGATTTCATGTTTTAGGGGAACAGGTTTCTGGTTGATGTTTCGGAATTTTGTTAACAGACTCAATCTTCTACATGTAGATACCAGCGCACAGGCAAATTCAAATTATCTTCCATTTACATCACAGATTAAATCGTGACAATCCGGTTTTAAATCGAGGGTCGAAAACAGGTCACAACCGGAACTAACTCCCCCAGCCCCTCCGGAATGGAAAAAATAGTAACAACTGAACCTTGAAAAAAATGCATACTTGGGCCGATCTTTCCCAAACAGGATGCCGTCTAAGGTAGTTTCCAAACTGTCCGATCGGGGACTGTGGAATGGGATAAGAGAGTCCCGAACATACCACTTGCCCCATGTCCAGACTTACCAGTGGGGGAAGTAGGGGGAGCAAATCAATGAAGGCTTGGATGGCATGGACCCTGCTCCATACAATCGCCCCTCCAGCCGCTACTCAATTCACGATCTACAATGAAACGATACCCCCATCTCGTCAAATAGACTTCAAATTCTGTACCTGGTGTGTGTCATTCTCGCTCATTCATTCACCCACTCATATTACATTGTGACCGTGACAACAAAAGAACAACTCACTTGTCGACTTTGACGTGCACGTGTTGCGAGTTGCTGTGCCCCCAGCTGCCCTATCTTCACACTCTGCCCTGTCTCCTGGCTCTGGCGCTGCTGCCAGTCTCGAACTCGCTTTGTAACCACCCGCGTTCCGGGTAAGCGGCTGACGTCACCCGACAGATACGCCCCTCCCTGGGACTTCGCCCCCGCCCACTCACGTCATCGCGCAGAGCCCCGCCCCTAATCTGACAAGAAAGTGCCCCGACTCAAGAGCTCAAAACTTAGCATTAACCCGTTCAGAGAAGTTATTATACTCCTCTGCAACAGGCGGGGTTTGAACCCCGGGGTCTCCTGGCTCAGAGGTAGGAACAATACCACTATGCCATAAGAGTCTCAGAGCCCAAGCCCCCGGCTCTTGGCAGCAGTGTCGATGAGGTGACTCAGTGTGTGATCGGTGGGGATTTACTGGATTCTTCCCGCCCCTTTCTCTGACCTGCTTTGACCCGTGTGCCTTGAGGCTGCTGGAAATTCTGTTGGAAACTTCAGTCATCGACAGCTACTGCGCAGAAAAACACCCTTCAGTCCATCAAGTCTGCACCAGTCAAAAATAAGTGCCTGACTATCCTAATCTAATTTTCCGGCTCTTGGCCCCATAACCTTGTGTGCCTTGACATTGTAAGTGCATAGCTAAATACTTCACAAATGTCATGAAGCTTTCTGCCTCTTCCACCCTTACAGGCAGTGAGTTCCAGATTCTCACCACAATGTGAGTGAAAAAAAAAACCCACACATTCCCTCTAAACTTCTTGCCCCTTAATTTAGATCTATACCCCCGTCATTGGTCCCTCCAAAAAGGGACCACATTGTCTATCCTATCTGGGTCCCTCGTATTCTTACATATCTCAATCATGCCCCCACTCAGTCTCCTCTGCTCCAAGGAAACCAACTCCAGTCTATCAAATCTTTCTCCATAACCAACACTCCAGCCCCGTCAACAACTTTGTAAATCTCTTCTGCACCCTCTCCAGTGCAATCACATTCTTCCTATAATGTGGATTTCAGAAAGGCACACAATACTCTAGCAATGGCGAAACGAATATTTTACACAGTTCCAGCACAATCTTCCTGCTCTTAAATTCTTTGCTTTGGTTAATAAAGGCAAGTATCCGATTTTCATACTTAACCACTTTATCTACCTGTCCTGTTACCTTCAGGGCCCAGTGGACATGCACACCAAAGTCTCTCTGATCCTCTGTGCTTCTCAGGGTCCTACCATTCGTCATGTATTCCCTTACCTTCCCTTATCACCTCACATTTATCCAGATTGAATTCCATTTGTCATTTCACTGACCAGCCCACCTGACCATAGAGTCGTAGAGTTGTACAGCATGGAACAGACCCTTTGATCCAACTCATCCACGCTGACCAGATATCCAAAATGAATCTAGTCCCATTTTCCAGAATTTAGCCCATACCCCTCTAAACCCTTCCTATTCATATACCCATACCATGCCTTTTAAATGTTGTACCAGTTTCCACCACTTCCTCTGGCAGCTCATTCCATACATACACCACCCTCTGAAAAAGCTGCCCCTTGGGTCCCTTTTAAATATTCCCCCTCTGACCCTAAACCTATGCCCTCTAGTTTTGGACTCCTCCACCCTGGTGAAAAGACTTTGTCTATTTACCCTATCCATGCCCCTCACGATTTTATAAACCTCTGTAAGGTCACCCCTCAGCCTCCGATGCTCCAGTATGTCTATATTCTTCTGGAATCTAAGGCATCGTCCTCATTATTTACCACCCCACCAATTTTCATATCATCCGCAAGCCTACTGATAACTCTCCTACATTCAAGTGTAAATTGTTTATATATACCACAACAGCGAGTTGTTATTCTATTCCTCTGGAACAGGTAGGACTTGAACCCTGGTCTCCTGGCTCATTGATCCCTGTGGAACCCCACTGGACACATTCTTCCAGCCACAAAAAGTCACAGTGTGACCATTTTCCTCTGCTTCCTGCCATTCAGCCAATTCTGGATACAATTTGCCAAATTTCCTTGGATCCCATAGACTCTTACACTTAATATCAATTTCCCATGCAGGACCTTATCGAAAGCTTTGTTGAAGTCCAAGTAAACTACATAAAAATCATTACCCTCACCTACACACCTGGTCACCTCTTAGAATCAAGTTGGTCAGACATGACCATCCCTTAACAAAGCCATGCTGACTGTTCTTGATTAATCCCTGCCATTCCACGTGCAAATTAATTCTGTTCCTCAGAATTGCATCCAATAGTTTCCCCATCGCTGAGGTTTGACTGACCTGTAGTTTCCTGGTTTATCCTTTGGTCCCTTCTTGAGTAACAATACAACATTGGAGTGCTCCAGTCCTCTGGCACCTCTCCCGTGGCCAGAGAGGGATGAAAATTAATGCCGGTGCCCCAGCTATTTCCTCCCTTGCCTCACTCAACAACCTGGGATACATTTCATCCACTTCTGGAGATTTATCTAGTATCTATGCTAATTTCTTCAATTAGATCACAGACCTCCCTGATTTCTGTGCCCATCTCATTGCTCTCACTAATGAACATTGACCGAATGTATTCGTTCAGAACCCTACCAACGTCCTCAGGCTACATGCACAAGTTTCAGAGACAACAAGGTGCAGGGCTGGATGAACACAGCAGGCCAAGCAGCATCATAGGAGCAGAAAGGCTGACGTTTCGGGCCTAGACCCTTCATCAGAAAATCTGTTTATGGTCTCTACTCTTTTCCCAGTTATCTGTTAATTTAACAAACAGAAAGAGTTGTATTGATGTAGTTCTTCAGCGAGGAGGTCTTTGGATGCAGTGGGTAGCTCCTCTGGCTTCTGGGATTGGAATGAATCATGAATCAATTGGCAAGGAGGGTGTGTTCCTAATGCAGCTAAACCTATTGTGAACTTGAGAATCCTTTCTACATAATCTAATTGCAGACAGTAAGGGTGTAACTATTTACTGGCCATGCCAGATAATAGAAATAAATCACAGCTTCTGGCATCGCTCTGGGCTGCAGCATGCATGTAAAAGTGTGTGTTTTTGCTGCAACTTGAACTCCTTGCAGGGCTCAAAAGCAGCAATGTTGTAATGACTAGATCATTTGTTTTTGTGATGCTGATTTTGGGATAAGTATTGACCAGTACACTGGAGGAGATTCTACTTCTTTCTTTTGAAATGCTGCTATGAGGTCTTCAGTGTTTCTCTGTGAGGCCAAACAGGGCCTCAATTTAATGTTGAAAATCGGCACCTCTGACAGCACAGTACTGTCTCAGTACTGCACTATGTTATGGACCAGACCAAACCCCTTCACAAATATTAAGAAGACAGTCTAGACCCTTACCTTTTTCTGATTTTAAAGGCAAATGCCAGGTGTTGCATTCCGGATACAATTCAATTAGTCAAACTCCCCATCTTGAAGCAAAGCACACTTTATTCATACACGATAGTTAAAATACAACAAAATAAAGAAGAAATTGGAATAACTTATTTCAATGGGAAAACTTAACAGGATAATAGATTATTTAACTACTCAACAGTAACTGTTCCAATATAGTAACATTCCATAAACATACCGCCTGGCAAAGGCACATTCAGTAAAATAGAAGGGTCTAGGCCCGAAACGTCAGCTTTCCTGCTCCTCTGATGCTGCTTGGCCTGCTGTGTTCATCCAGCCCTACACTTTGTTATCTCAGATTCTCCAGCATTTGCAGTTCCTACTATTTCAGTAAAATAGATTGTCTCACATGCAATTCTCCAGTCAAGGAGGAGAAATCATCAAGAAAACATCAAGAAAAATCTCTGAGAGAGTAGCAGAGAGAGATGTACTGCAGCTTCCAAACCCAGTTTCAAGATACCAGCAACTGTTGCTGAAAATCTAAAAGTATGAAAATCCTGGTTCTGTGGGAGCTTGACCACACCCATTCAGGCTCCTTCTATTCTGCAAATTTAAAATAAACAAGGCCTCACAAACTGATTACTTTATTGGATTCAAATAGACAGCTCCACCACATCTCTTCAAAAAAAAAGGACAAAATAACACCTCTTACATCCATAGTATCGTTGGAACTGGCATACCAGCCCTTAAGTTCTGAAAAGCTGAATGTCTTCATGAATAGTCCTCTGTTTTTAAAAATCTGAATTATGGGGTCTTGTTTTCAAAATTCTCAGGCAGTTCAACCAGAAAACAAAACTAATGATAACAAATGGCAATCCTAATGTTTAATCCCAAAAGCCTGTGAAGAAAAGTAAGAGGACAAACCTTCTAAAATTGTTGTGCTAGACAGTGCTTCCCATGTCACAGTAAGCCAATAAAGTACTTCTTGAACTGTAATCACTATTGCAATGTAGTAAATGCAGCACCAATTTCATACAGCAACCAGCAATGTGATAATGAACAAATAATTTGATTTTTATGTTGATTGCAGTATTAATATTGATAAGTTTTTGGAAATTATTCCCCACCTTTCTTCAAAATAGTACCTTGGATTTTTTTCTAACTCATTAAGTAAGCAGATGTGACCTTGGTTTAATACATCATCCAAAAGATGGTACCTGTGACAGTGCAGCATTCCCTCAATATTCTGCTGGCGTTTCAGCCTTCATTTTGTGCTTAATCTCTGGAGTGGCACTAAAATACGGTATCTTGTGTCTCGGAGGCAAGAACACTATTAACTGAGCCACAGCTCTCACGATGTGCAGCTAAGGGATAGGACTGAAATTGGGCAAAATGACATTAGGAGTGACAGGAGGGCGATGATAAGGATCTTCAAGTCTATTCCAGGGGCAGGGATTCTGGAGAATGTAGAAGATGACATGGGTGATATAATAGGTTGTGGCATTTTCAATGAGTTACACTGATTGTGGATCCAATGAGAAGAGCACTGGAGAAACTAAGCATATAATTAATAAAAGCTGCATAAGGTTCCCAGCAGGAGAACTGAGGTGGTCAGATTAAAGGTAGTTTTGGTGACAGATCAAACATGGCAAAGAGGCATGGCTTGAGATTCAGTGCATAAGAAAGTTCCATACATTTGGACTTAGCCCGAGGTGACAAATGGGGATGTTGATGGA